GTCCCTGCCCAGAGAGCTTGCACCCTAATAGTAAGAAACATGATCCCTGCACACAGAGCTTACACTCTAATATGAATTATATAACTCAGAGAAATATAGTACTTGCCCATAGAGCTTACACTTTAATATGAATTGTATAAAACAGAGAAACATGATCCTGGCCCAGAAAGCTTACACTCTAATATGAACAGTACAATGCAGAGAAACCAAATCCCTGCCCATAGAGCTTGCTCTCTAATAAGAATTATATAATACAAAGAAACATGGTCCCTACCAACAGAGCTTACACTCTTATATGAACAATATAATTCAGAGAAACCAAATCCCTGGCCATAAAACCTACACTCTAATATGAAGAGTACAATACAGAGAAACATGACCACGGCCCACAAAGCTTACACTCTAATATGAAAAGTACAATGCAGAGAAACATCGTCCCTGCCCACAGAGCTTACACTCTAATATGAAGAGTACAATACAGAGAAACATGATTACTGCCCACAGAGCTTACACTCTTAAATGAAGAGTACAATACAGAGAAACATGATCACTGCCCAAATAGCTCACACTCTAATATGAAAAGTACAATGCAGAGAAACATCGTCCCTGCCCACAGAGCTTACACTCTAATATGAAGAGTACAATACAGAGAAACATGATCACTGCCCACAGAGCTTACACTCTAAAATGAAGAGTACAATATAGAGAAACATGATCACTGCCCACTGAGCTTACACTCTAATATGAAGAGTACAATATAGAGAAACATGATCACTGCCCACTGAGCTTACACTCTAATATGAACAATATAATTCAGAGAAACATAGCCCCTGCCCATACAGCTTACACTCTAATATGAATTGTATAACTCAGAGAAATATAGTACCTGCCCATAGAGCTTGCACTTTAATATGAATTGTATAATACAGAGAAACATGATCCCTGCCCACTGAGCTTACACTCTAATATGAAGGGTACAATACAGAGAAACATGGTCCCTGCCCAGAGAGCTTACGCTCTAATATGAACAGTACAATGCAGAGAAACCAAGTCCCTGCCCATAGAGCTTGCTCTCTAATATTAAGGGTACAATACAGAGAAACATGATCCCTGCCCATAGAGCTTACACTCTAATAAGAATTATATAATATAAAGAAACATGGTCCCTACCAACAGAGCTTACACTCTTATATGAACAATATAATTCAGAGAAACCAAATCCCTGGCCATAAAACCTACACTCTAATATGAAGAGTACAATACAGAGAAACATGATCACTGCCCACACAGCTTACACTCTAATATGAAGAGTACAATATAGAGACACATGATCACTGTCCACAGAGCTTACACTCTAATATGAACAATATAATTCAGAGAAACATAGTCCCTGCCCATACAGCTTACACTCTAATATGAATTTAATATATCAGAGAAACATGATCCCTGCACACAGATCTTACACTCTAATATGAATTGGATAATACAGAGAAACATGATCCCTGCCCACAGAGCTTACACTCTAGTGCGAATTGTATAATACAGAGAAAAATGATCACTGCCCACAGAGCTTACACTCTGATATGAAGAGTACAATATAGAGAAACATGATCACTGCCCACAGAGCTTACACTCTAATATGAAGAGTACAACACAGAGAAACATGATCACTGCCCACAGAACTTACACTCTAATATGAAGAGTACAATACAAAGAAACATGATCACTGCCCACAGAGCTTACACTCCAATATGAACAATATAATTCAGAGAAACATCGTCCCTGCCCATAGAGCTTACACTGTAAAATAAACAATATAATTCATAGAAACACTATGTCTGCCCACAGAAATTGCACTCTAATATGGACAATATAATTGAGAGAAACATAGTCCCTGCACACAGAGCTTACATGCTAATATAAATTGTATAATACAGGGAAACATGATCCCTGCCCACAGAGCTTACACTCTAGTGCGAATTGTATAATACAGAGAAACATAGTCCCTGCCCACAAACCTTATGCTCTAATATGAATTATATAATACAAAGAAACACAATCCCTGCTCACAGAGCTTACACTCTATTATGAAGAGTACAATACAGAGAAACATGATCACTGCCCACAGAGCTTACACTCTAATATTAATTGTATAATACAGAGAAACACAGTCCCTGCCCATAGGGCTTACACTCTAATATGAAGTGTAAAATACATAGAAACATAATCACTGCCAACAGAAATTGCACTCTAATATGAGCAATATTATTGCAAGAAACATAGTCCCTGCCCACAGAGCTTACACTCTAATATGAAGAATATAATTCAGAGACACATAATCCCTGCCCATAGAGCTTACACTTTAATATGAATTGTATAATACAGAGAAACATGATCCCGGCCCACAGAGCTTACACTCTAATATGAAGGGCACAATACAGAGAAACATGGTCCCTGCCCAGAGAGCTTGCACCCTAATAGTAAGAAACATGATCCCTGCACACAGAGCTTACACTCTATTATGAATTGTATAATACAGAAAAACACAGTCCCTGCCCATAGAGCTTACACTCGAATATGAAGGATAAAATACATACAAACATAATCACTGCCAACAGAAATTGTACTCTAATATGAGCAATATAATTGCAAGAAACATAGTCCCTGCCCACAGAGCTTACACTCTAATATGAAGAATATAATTCAGAGACACATAGTCCCTGCCCATAGAGCTTACACTCTAATATGAAGAATATAATTCAGAGACACCTAGTCCCTGCCCATAGAGCTCACACTCTAATATAAAGAGTACAAAACAGAGAAACATGATCACTGCCCATAGAGCTTACACGCTAATATAAAGGGTACAATACAGAGAAATACGGTCCCTGCCCACGGAGCTTATTCTCTAATACGAATTGTATAATAAAGAGAAACACGATCACTGGCCACATGAGTAGAGCATAGATTATAATGTATATTTTACAATACAGAGGAACTAGGCTGCACACCCCCAGAATTTATACTCCTATCAAAAGCTTACATTACAAAGAAAAGGTATCCATGTAAAATTTACACTCAACTACGTGTACAGATAGGTTTCTGGAAATTCAGAGTGAATTCAAACTGAATTTCACCTTTGAAGCCAAAGTATTTAAAATGCAAAAATTCTCCAAGTCAACAATGCTTTCCTTTTGGCTAATTTTCCCTTAAATTGTAAATTCACCACGTTAGTGAATAACCCTGTACATCTTTTTTCTCCTTAGATCCTCATAACCTTTTTTTCTCCTTAGACTCTTCTTTCAGAATGTTCTTCCTCTGGTCTCCATGTTTTCATTTCCAATGAACTGGTTGAGGTATTTGACTGAAATCGCTACTCCCATGCTGCATTTTCTCCAAATGACTCTTGTAAGAGCTTATTAGTAATGTATTGGTGTGCTGGATACATTGCCGCTTTATGAGAGATGATTTCTTCATGTTTTCTAATATTGGTTCCATCTTGCTGGGGTAGACAAATAAAGGAGTATTAAAATGGTTTGTCTTTTAAAGCCCATACAATCAATAATTGTGCAGTTACCCAAAATACCCTAAAAATAAAAGCTAAATGTTAGAATAAAAGTTAGAAAAAACCTGTATAGTTCCACTGCCTGATTCAGGAGACATCTAAAAGAGGTCAAGATAAAGTACAAAATGGTCCATCCTGGTGTAGCTTCAGCACGGAATGTTGAAACAGAAGATGGGATGGAACAGTGAAGGTAGCTCTGCTACTATGATGTCATTGCCTTGTCATTCCTGTGCTATGATGTCACAGTTACACACATGCCTGCCATAGATTTGCATTAGTAACTTTGTAGAAAAAAATAAAAATAAAAGATCCTTAAGTTAAAAATTTTCCTAAGAGGAAACATTGACAAGCAGTAAAAAAATGTGTAGATTGATTTTACTGCAATGAAAATGGTATCTTGTAGGACATTAGCAGAGTTAGTTGCTAAAGTGAGAATTCAAAGTACTTTCAGATTTCAAATTTAAGGTAAAAAGTCTACTGTGCTTCCTTTTCGGCTACTTTTTTCTCTTTCTTATGTTCCATATCTTTCCCTTTCTGCAGCAAGCGCAACAGGTTGCTGTCCTGTATGCTCATTAAATGTGCACCTTTAGACTAAATTATATTGTCTCTTTAAAAATCATTAGCATGATGTCCCTTTAACCCCTTAAGGACACATGACATGTGTGACATGTCATGATTCCCTTTTATTCCAGAAGTTTGGTCCTTAGGGGTTAAACACCCTTTATTCACAGTTGCCAATTGACGTTGCTAAGTCAGTATGTAACTCGGCTTTAGCCATACCGTCAACAGGGACCAAGCTGCTCAGGGATACCCATTCAGTATTAAACTATTAGAAAATAGTATGTCACTGAATTGTGAGCTAGCACTAGGGGACTCCAGGCACCATAACCACTTCAATGAGATGAAGTTCCTGTAGGGTCCCATTAGATCATACTAAAAACATACTTTTTAAAACACCATTACCTCGAGGGGGCGTGGTCTGGATGCCGACCGAGATGGCCGCATAGTTCCAGAGCTCCGCACAATCCACTCACAATCCAGCACCAGCCACGAGCATCGAGACCCAGACGACAGCCACAGCAGCTGAAATATGCCAGGCTCACACTCCGGAGCCAAACAAGCCATAAAAAAAAAGGGGATCGAAGGGAAACCGCCAGGTCAGTGGCCGACATGTTAGCGACACCACGAGGCAGACAGGCCTCCCAAGATGGCCGCCGACACAGCCCTCACGGCTCCCTCTCCCCAGCATCCACAACGGGTAGTGATATACCCGAATTCCAAACGGAAGATACCCCACATATTTTAACAAAACTGACAGAAGTCAGAAACTTTTTAGCCAAGGAAATTTCCAACAGCACCAAAGCGGTTAAAGCAGAAATTCAAGCACTGGGCGCACGGACGGCGGCCCTTGAGGATAAAATGGAGCAAATCACCAGCGCTCACAACTCGGTGGTGACACACTCCAGGACCATGAGACAACAAATAACAGACCTGGAAATGATGGTGGAAGATCTCGCCAACCGCTCCAGGCGCAATAATGTACGACTCCGGGGACTCCCCGAATCGCCTCACGAGGGGGACCTGGTAAACAAAATGAAGCAGTACTTCAAACAACTAATCCCAGGTATTTCGGACGAACACTGGGCAATCGACCGCGCACATAGAGCGCTCCGGGCGCGCAGGGTGGAGGGACAGACCCCAAGGGATATCATCCTCCGTTTCCATTACTATTCCACGAAGGAAGCGGTGATGAAATATGCACGAAATAAAAATCTGACATACCAAGACACAGCTATCAACTTATATCAGGATCTGTCCCCTACCACTCTGCAACGCAGAAGAAACTGGAGACCCCTGACGCTGCTTCTACAAGAGAAGGAAATCAAATACACTTGGGGACACCCCTTCAAATTGGTGGCCTTCAAATCCGGAACAACATACACGCTGCTACCAGGTGCGGACCCTAGGAAATTCCTCAGGAGCCTCCAAGTGGAACCGCCACCAGACTTTGCCCTGACCCAGGAGACTGTACCCGAGCTCAACACTCTACCCGCAGAATGGACCACCGCCAAAGACTCAGCGGGCCGCCGACACTAAGGCCCCAAGAGGGACTCACATAATCTGCCAAACTGACTTCCTGGTCAGGTAACCCATTCGGGGTCTATCCTTACAGGGGGGGGTGCTATGACTCTCTCACAACCTAACCCAGCCTGAAACCAACAGGCAATTATCACCTTCCCAAAACACAGAACATAGAGGGGAAGGAAAAAAAAATAAAAAAAAATTATATATATATATATATACATAAAAATATATCTGTACATGTAAATACTATCAAACACTCTAGAATGGTAACGCTAGATATGGCGCATGCTCATGGGGTCCCTCGCTGAGGCAGGGGTTCGGGGCCGTGGCAGCCAAACTGGAGGGGCTTGTGGAGTCAGAGGTGTTGGCTATCTCCTCCGCTTTGGCTGGTGGGGCCTTTGAAAGTTAAGCATCCAATAAGCTATTACGCCTCGAAAACGACCTTGTGAATAACAGTTGCACTAATGCCATTGAATGCCTGTTTTCATGCGATATAGAGTGCTCCCGGGGTACTGGGCCGCAGCTCAGATGAAGACCGCTGGACGCTAGTGCGTATATATCTTTGCTGGTGTGGAGACAGGGTAGTATTTTCTAGATAGTTCACGAATACTCAGACAACTAGGTTGCCCGGGTCACAAACCTAGGGGGCATCCCTCTGTCTCTTCCTAGAGATGAAGGCGGCATAGCACGAACACTGCCCTAGCAAACCCCCCTCTTCCACCATGGCACACAGAGGTTCCCCACTGCCTTCACTCTCACGCAATCGCAGTGTCTAGCGGTCTTTCACCCTTATGCTCCGCAGCAACTGAGCAAAAGCAGAGGTTGCCCTTAACCTAAGACACTTCAAAAGAAAAAAAAAAAAAAAAATTCTCCAACTACCTATACTGCCCCCCCCCCCCCACGAGATATAAAGGAAGCGATGGGCACCCAACCAGATGGCAGGCTGCATCTGACGCCTCGCACAGAGGCACAGTGGATTGGTGAGCCTCCCACCCCGGAATAGGACAGAATTCTGGCCTGCGGGGGAGAGACTTATCCCCATTCCATTCTGGCAAATTGTAAGACCAGACTGAAAGTACATCACTACATATGTTTTTATCAACCTTGTTATATGGTTCATAATTATGTTATATTTTTGTTTATGTTTATGGTTTTCGGTTCACTATGCACGAGTGAAATGTTAATCCTGATACCCCAAAGAGACCGCCGGACGACAGAGACAGAAAGGGGGGGGACCAACAGAATCCTGACAGGTATGGACCCTCTGCCCCACACACACAAGCATCCCATAAGACAAACCCAACCATGACGTTAAAAATTTTATCAATGAACGCGAAAGGGCTAAACACTCCTACCAAACGCAGACTATTATTACGAGAATTAAAAGCAAAAAGGGCCGACATAGCACTTATACAGGAGACGCACGTTCCTAAAGCCGCACCGATCAAACTAGGAGACCGTCTCTACACCACAACATACGAGGCCAGGGCACCTCGCAAACAAGCAGGAGTAGCTATACTCCTACACAAACGCTGCCCATTTATAATGACCCATAAACAGATAGACCCAGAAGGCAGATTCATAACCATAAGTGGCACCCACTATAACACTAAACTACATATCGTAAACTTATACGCACCCAACAACCCAGACCGGGCTTATTGGGACACCATAACATCCCTACTCGCCACCCTGCAAGGGGGCATTTTAATAGTGGGAGGTGACTTCAACGCTGTTCCCTGCCCAGCAATCGACCGCAGCTCCAAACCAGGGACACAAAGATCTCAAGGCAGGGGGGGACAAGATAAACTCCTATACTCCTTCCTCCAACACACTGGACTCCTGGATGCCTGGAGACTCCAACACCCAGACACAAGAGACTACACATACTACTCGGCGCCACACCACACATACTCTAGGATAGACAATATCCTCCTCAATGGAGCGGGTATGACTAAACTCATCCACTCAGAAATAAACAGCATCACGTGGTCGGACCACGCTGATGTAGCGATTACGCTGGGGAACCTCCAACATCACAACGACTGGACATGGAGACTCAACACAACCCTACTTACCGACGAAACAATACTCACCACTACATGACAAAAAATCACGGACTATTTTAGTACCAACGACACAGAAGAAGTAAACCCAACAACACTCTGGGCGGCACACAAAACCGTACTGAGGGGACATCTCATACAGGCAGCCACTCATAAAAAACGGACACGAACAAAACACCTACTAGAATTACAAACCACTATGCGGAAACTCGAACAACAACATAAACAAAACCCATCCCCCACCACATACGACAAACTCCAAAGCACCCGACACGCAATCAGGGAGCACATGACAGCAGAAATAACACGTTCTATACTATGGTCACGGCGCAAGTTCTATGAAAAAGCCAATAAAATGGACACACTGCTAGCGCGTACACTCAGACCGAGACAGGGATATAAACCCATTACAACGCTCCATAACAAAGCCAACAAACTAGTTAACACCCCGAAAGAAATCAATGACGCCTTTACAGAATACTTCCAGCAACTGTATAACCTTGCACCAATGGAGGGGGAAGCCCAGACTCAACATCTCGCCCACATAGCTAACTTCCTAACCCACACTAATCTACCCAGGGTGACAACAGGAGAGGCCAACGCTCTAGAAACACCCATCACACCGGAGGAGGTAGCGGCCTCGATCTCCGCCCTGAAAGGGAACAAAGCACCAGGACCTGACGGATACGATATGGGCTATTATAAAACATTTACGACAGAACTGATACCCCCCCTCACCAAACTATATAACCATTTCCTTCAGGGGGGAACTCCAGACCGAGATATGGCCACCGCCAACATTATCTTACTGCCCAAACCCAACAAGGACACCACACTTGCCACAAACTACAGACCCATCTCCCTCATCAACACCGACTTAAAGATATTCGCAAAGATATTGGCATCTAGACTAATCCCACTGTTACCTAAATTAATACACCCAGATCAGGTCGGCTTCATACCAGGACGCCAGTTATATGAAAATACACGCAGAGGGGTGGATCTGATCTGGCATATATCACACACTAGGCAGCCTGCCCTTGTCCTCTCCCTCGACGCAGAAAAGGCCTTTGATAGGGTACAATGGCCTTTTCTGTTCACAGTACTTCAAACTCAGGGATTCCCGGAACCCTATATCACGGCAATAAAGGCCCTATACACAAACCTGCAAGCACAAACCATAATCACAGGAGCGCCAAAATCCCCATTCCAAGTGAGCAATGGAACAAGACAGGGCTGCCCCCTATCACCACTCCTCTTTGCTTTAGTGCTAGAGCCCCTCCTACACCTCATACGAGCAAACCCAAACATAAAAGGAGTGCACTTGGGAGATGAACACTTCAAAGTAGCTGCATATGCAGATGATATACTCCTAACACTCACAGACCCAACCCAATCGATGGCAAATTTAGAAAAGCTACTGCAGACATACGGTGAAGTATCAGGATACAAAGTTAACTTAACCAAATCGACGGCACTGACATTCCATATACCTGACCGGGAGGTACAACACATCAGACACACCTATCATATCAAAACCAACACAGACACACTCACGTATCTAGGCGTCAAACTCACAGCAGATCACAGCACACTATTTAAACATAATTACACTCCACTGATCACAAAACTCAAGACGGACTTAGAAACTTGGACAGACAAACCCATCACATGGCTAGGTCGCCTACATTCCATAAAAATGAACCTATTGCCAAGACTGCTGTTCTTATTCCAAGCGCTCCCGACTCGAGTGACCAAGAGTGACCTAGCTGGCCTACAACAAGCAATAGACGCCTTTATCTGGCAGAGAAAGCGGCCAAGAATAGCCAAAAAAATACTGTATAATCCCAAGGGGAGGGGCGGCCTGGGTATGCCCCACATTCACCATTACTATACCGCAGCCCAAGTTGCCCAAATAGCTCACTGGCACTGCCCCAAAAATCAACGCCGTTGGGTTGACATAGAATCCCACATGACAGGAGCAGACCTCCCGCAATTCCTCATATGGACACCGAAGCATCACAGAACAATCTTACGAACAGACTGCCCGGCCATCCTAAACTCCATTAGCTTATGGGACCAGATCGCGCAGAAATTCAAACTCACACACCTCCCGTTCCCAATGACCCCAGTACTACGTAACAGAGCATTCCCACCGGGTCTAAGGGCACGAGACTTTAAAGGCATCGAAGCCACGAACCTACAACGCTATATCCACCTATACGTAGATAACCAACTAGTGACATACCAACACTTGCAAACCTTAGCCCCATTACAAACCCGCGACTTCTTCCGATATATACAATTACGGGACTGGTGCAAACCAATGAGGTCAAAATGGCAATTGCCAAGCCTCTAACTTTCTTTGAGCAAATCTGCCTCAAAGAAAGCATGCCAGCGAAACTAATCTCTCTGCTCTACAACCACATATGCCTAGAATCAGGCACGTGGGGCCCGCAGACATACACAGACAAATGGGAAGTGGATCTGGGAGAAACACTAGAGGGAACGGAGTGGCAAGACATATGGGAGGCGAACACGAAAGTGTCTATATGCACGACCTTACAGGAACAATCATATAAAATAATGCTTCGGTGGTATACAACACCAGTCAAGCAACAACACATGCAGCTCTGTCCCACCGATACCTGTTGGCGACTATGTGGAGAAAAAGGCACATACATCCACATGTGGTGGCAGTGTATTAAAGTAAAGGAGTTTTGGGAAAAGATAGTGGCCATGCACACTAAAATCCTACACCGACAAATAACACTGGACCCCTGGGCATGTCTATTATCACGACCGACAAACGGACTAGACAAACATGACCAAAAACTTCTGAATATGCTCAATCTAGCAGCTCGTAGGGCACTGGCACAATACTGGATAAAACCAGAGACACCCCCACTTTCATTAGTAATTTCCAAAATCAGAGATAATTACTTAATGGACAAGATGACAGCTACCGTTCGGAACACTACCACCACATTTCAAAAGGTATGGGCCCTTTGGGAACAATATGAGGAAAAATCATAGGACAAATGAGCACCCAATCACAGACCGCTACACACTCGTGCAGATTTAGGATTTAACACCTACGTTCACTTGATCGTTTTGCTTGTATATATGTTTTTCTTTGTGTACACAACGAATAAAAAAATAAAAAAAAAAACCTTTGACAGGCGAAAGCTAAATGACAACAGCCTCTATGCAACCCACATGCAACAAGTCTAAAATGTATATTATGTATACTAACAACCCAGTCTTTTTCTGTACCATGACTAAAGCATACTTGAAAAGATGGGCTTCTGCGTAAGCCAAAAATGCTCTTACCTTCAATGTCTGTCAATGCAACAATAAAGAATTGATAAAAAAAAAAAAAAACACCATTACCTCTATGTAATTGAGCCAGTGAACTGTGTTTTTCTCTGAGTTAAATGTTTAGCCAGTGGTGTCTGCCACCATTACAAAAATACTTCACATTTATTGAACACAGACATGTTTATAAGGGGAAACGCAAGATGTGTGTGTCATATGTTGGCACTACATCTATAGTAAATGTAGTGGAAAGAAAAATTAGTTTCACATTTTAACGTTAATGCTGTGATATAGGGTAAAGGTACAAATAGTGCATTTCCATGTATTTTTTTCAGTTTAAAAAAAAAATCTACCTTGGTATATTTCTAATATCCTAATAATGAATCACTTTTTATCAAAATCCACTTGTTACATTGAAATGAGAATTAGCCAACCTGCTTCTATAAATGAAATGAAGAATTTAGCATCATCTGTTCATCATATATGCAATAAGATAAACTCCTATTTAGGCAACGGAGTTAAGAGGTGGATAACATGGGAAAATAAACGTTCCCACCGGACTGGGGAATGGAGTTTGCGCATGCGTTGAGTTGCGCATGCGCATTTGTGATTTTCCTATGTTATCCACCTCTAAACTCCGTTGCCTATATAGGAGTTTATCTTATTGCACATGTGCCGTGGCGCGCATGCACACCAATGATTATTGTGCAGGCTCGATCACATGACCAACGTCATTGGACGTGTCCTGTATGTCAGACGCGGTCATGTGATTGGTATCTTGCATTCGAACGAGATATGTAAGTAACTTTGATTTATTTATTGAAATTACCTAGCCCCATCATATGTCATTAAAAGAGATTGTCTCACTAA